TACATTCAAGGTTGCATAATGAGCCATATACAGCTTCCCTTTTTGTATTATGCAGAATATGGACTAGGAAATTATTTAGAATATTAATCTTCATGCTATATTAATATGCACTGCTTTATGGCTAAATATTGTCTTCCAATATTCCTGGTGTGGTTCCATGTTGCCTTCAAAGTAAACAACAATGTGGAGAACAATAAAGGGACTGTGCACTTACACACACAGCTGGGAACAGCTATATTGGAACATTTTAATATCTCTGTGTATTGGGATATCAGTGGCCTTTTTAATTAGAAAAAATTTTAAAAACCCTTTTGCACTTACCAGTTACAGCCTAATTCTAGGCGGACCATGGAAAAAATTATTCACACCTCTATCATGATGATGTGACCTGACATTTTGCATTTCATTGCTTCTGAAGCAGTCACTTCACCACTTTCTGTGCTTTCCTGTTTTTTAGCGATAAAAAAGTTGTTCTTTTAACTGTGCTGCACTTATATTTGTTATGGACTCCACTCTTATGCTGTTTTAATTCTGATTGGCTATGTTGAACAATTGAGGTTCTTTGCAATAACTACCATAAGCCTTATAATAATTATTGCTACCTTCACTGATCCTGCAAAATTATTTTTCCATTTATTGGGAAATTGCAAAGCTCTTTCTACTTAGAGAGTGCATTGTGATTTACTGAAGAAATTACTACTGCCATCAGTGCCAAAATTATGATCTCTATTAAGAATGTCATTCAGCCAATGAAAAATGGTATGGTAGTTAGATTTAATCTGTAGTTAGATGGATATTAGGTACTGTATTCTATATATAACAGCCATGATTTAGTTATAATAAATATGAATGATAAAATGCTCTTTATTTTCTGGGAGCTTGAATACACAGGCTAATCTTAGCAATCATTCTTCAAGGTAGATTTCAACTCTACTGAAAATATGTGTCATACTTTTTTTTGCGAGGGTTAAAATTGTCTTCATATAAAATAAAGAAAGAAATAGAGGATTCTGCAGTTTAAAAAGTTCTACACAAATGCAAAATTATTTTTTGGATGGAGACAATACCTCAGAGTTATCTAGGGAGAAATGAAGCTTCATCAAAGGCAAGTTTGACTCAGTAGCTCAGAAGCCCCCCCCCATGTCAGAGTCCTCTGCCATCCCCAGAGGAGGGGGAGAAGTTTGCAATAAGCCCTGCTGTAATAACGTCTGGAAACTTCCAAGACTTTTCTGAAAAGTCTGTGCTTCACAGCTCTGTTATGCACACAGTAGGTACTAATATTCAGCAATAAAATACCTTTATGTCTCTTTGTGTCAAGTATTTCATTTCTCCATAGCTATTAAAAGCATTTCACAAAAGATAGCTTTTTTCCTTTTTTGTGAGTTGATCCTCACCTGGGTTACAAGTAGAAGAAACATCAGCAGTTATTTATGCAGTGCCATATCTGTGATTTTACTTCAAGGTAGTCTGGAGAAAACTGAAAAAAAAAAACAAAACAAAAAACGCAAATAAGGCTAAAATAGTCTGGAGAAAACTAAAAAAAAAAAAAAAAAGTAATGTCTTTGCTTTGCAAGCTTTGTCAACAATAGATTTTGTTAAAAGACTTGATTTCTGCTGGCTGAAGCCTACAATGCCAACAGGGCTTTATTGAACAGTTAATTCCTTAGTGCAGTGCTGCAGAGATTTGATGGACTGGAATCAGGGCTTCTGCTTATGCCTGTAGAAGACCAAAATGGGAAGTGGTTTTCTAATCCAAGGAAGAGTCTTGGGAACACCACCTGGCACTACATTTCTCTCTTTTTTTCAGAAGTTCCTTTTCCTCATCTTTCTTGCCTCCTTACTCCATAACAAGGGGTTTTGATAATAGAGAACTTTCTCAAACATATCTCTAATTATTACTACCCTTCTCCTACTTCCTCGCTTTCTGAACTTGCACTCTGAATTATCACGTGCAAAACACCTCTATCGCCACCCTGGGAATGTCCTGAGTTCATAGTCTAGGCAAGTTCTTGAAATAAGTATGTTTTTTCTGCTTAAAATGGCCTTCCTGTATGTCAGAACTGTTCAAGAGACAACATTCCCACAGTGCTTCATGAAGTGTGTGTCATAAATCAGTCACTGCATGCATACCTTACCAAGTGCAGACACAGTGCATTAGAAATGCAGATGACCGAGCGTTTGAGAGTTTGACTCTCTCAAAACTGTCCTTCCTCTCTCGTTATCTTTTCAAGAAGTTCATGGTTTCAGGGAGACCAAATCTGACACTGTGAGATTTAGGAATTTTTTTTCACACAGAAAACAAAAAAATTCTGTGGGTCTTGGTGAAATACCCATTCTTCTGTTTACATTGTTTTTTATATCTTTTGAAAGAATAGATGTTTTTTCTGCCAGACTTATGGAATTGGTTATGTTTTCTTGTCAAAGCTGAGATACTCTTCCTTCAAGAGGGTTTCCTTTGAGTAATTGCCTAACTGGTGGCCACTGAGCTGTAATTACTCCAGATGAAACCAATTGTCATCATTCCTTACAGCGCAAACTGCACTCCAAACACTCCAAATAGCATTCCCATTAGTCATATCTCCAGCACAACCTGCACATTTTTCTTGCTGAAAACAGATATCGATTTGACACCGTGCTGAGATGATATGATGTATAACTGATTGTACATTTCTGTATAGTATTAGATTAGACTAATGCACCCAGCTTTTCAATCTAATTACATCTGCTCAGCTGATGGAGAGAGTTGTACCCTGTGCAATTGCCTTGGCAATTACCAATATCACTTTATGATAATCTACTTAGAGTAAAAGAATCGTAGTGAAACAGGAATAGGCTGAGTTTCTCCTAGATCTTTTCTAATGTCACTTGCATTTTCAAGGAACATTAGACTGATCTCAGCTGGTAAATAAACATTTGAATCCTACTCATGAAAAATCACAGAAGAAAGTACTCAACATTTTCATGGTCTTTGAAAGAGTGTATCACTGTTCCATGAATGCACTGGTTTGGTCTTTGCAATGATGATAAATACTTGAATTGTGCAGCTGGCCCTGGATCTGAATTCAAGATTTCCCCTAGTGTAAGATTAGCTAATATATAATTTTTTACTCCCTGAACAACACCTGCTTGATAAGGCATACAGTCACAGACAGTCATCGTAAGTTTAGCAGAAAAATTAGGTGATAAACATTTCATTAATATCTAGCTGGACAGAGAGATGAACAAAACTAAAATGAGCAGAAGACAGAAAGTACAAATGGTCTTTGATCATGAGTAGCTGCATTTTTAAGAAGGAAGGAATTGCCAAAACACCACAGAATATTTTTTATGTTGTTTATTATCCATTACTTCTCATGGAAATTTAAGTCCTATCACTTTGCTCTCCTAGTTTTTGCAAAAGTACAATAGTGTAACCTGAAGCATGTCAGGAAAACAGGCTCACTTGAGAGCCTTTTGGGTCTGTGAATGATCAGGATATGAAAAGAATGCTCAGTCTCTGTGAAGCAATAGCCAAGAAACTAAACAGCACCTTAGTGTCAATACATAAACCAGAAAAAAACCCCAGAATAATTCCCCTGCTTGGACCTTTTTTGTAGGAAACCTCATTACAAAATCTGTGTGATACTGAATTGACTGTAAAATAGACGAGGTTAGTTTTGTCCTTGAGAAAAATGGATAAAAGTAGCAAATTTTTCGGATGAAGATGGGGGTCAGTCAATAACTCTGAAAGAGCTCACCAGCTAAATAGTTTGATTACTGAAAGTGGTGGATAATGCTCTTAAACCTGCCTTACATGCCTGAAGATGTCAAATATGATACTACCTGACCAAAAAACAGCTTCAGGGAGAACCATGGAAGTCCAAATATGGAATCCTGATGCCTCTTCTTGGCTTCAATATCATTCTAATATCACAAAGAACAGACACCTGGATAAGTATGATCAATTAGGGAAGAGTCCATGTGTTTTTCTTTAAGGCTATGCCTTACCTTGCTGGCTTGGTGGAGTTATTTGAAGAAGTCAGGAAGGAGTTGAACAGAGTGAACTGGCTGATGTGGTGGATCTGTCCTTCTAAAGCAACTTCAGTAGATTTCCTCACATTTATTTTCCTGAGCATTTCTAATAAGAATTAAAAAATAAGAGAAGTGGAATGAACAAATGTGATGGTGGGCAGAAACCAGAGGGATGTGTGCAGGAGCCTGTCCTGGTTACAATATTGATAAATGAACTGTCTGTGAAGAAGTGCACAACTTAAAATAATGAGTGCCTGTGTAGATCATAGCAGTTGATAGCTTTCAGTATAGATAAACATAAAGGGATGAGCCCTGGACAAAAGTACTTCTAATGTCACATCTTAAATGATGGGCTCTGAGCCTAGCACTAATATTCAGAAGTGAGATGGTTCCATGAATACATCAGTGTATCAGTCAGTAGCAGTCAGGGATAAATAGAAGTTAAAATTGCAGACATTAGCAAGAAAAATAGAGAGTGCAATAGGCAGTGTTACTGTAACACTGTATGGATGCATGGCTTGACTACAATTTGAAAAATATGCATTTTACATCTGCCTGTGCCAGAAAATTTATATTAGAATTAGAAAAGGTGCCAAGAAAAGCTTGAAAGATAATCTGAAATGGAAAACACCTTCTATAAAAGAAGCAATTGAGCAGGCTATGACTTCTGAGTTGGGGGAAATTATCCAGAAAAATTATGATTGGTATGACGATGGTAATTAGAAAGCAACTGTGAGCAGTGTTGCCAACCACAAGAACTGCAGATCTCCAAATGGAGCTGGTGGGAGCCAGATTCAGAGCAAACAACAAAGGAAATGGTTCATTGTGCATCATGTACCTGACAAGTTGAAATATTTGCCAAAGGATGCCATAGAATTATGGAGCATTTATGTGATCTCCTTTTGTTCAGCAAGAGCTTGGTAATGAGAACGTGATCTTGAGTTAGGACAATCATACGAATCCAAGTGACCAGACCTGCTTTTTGGTGATTACAGATTTGGTGCATTGATTAGGACCTGGAAAAAGGAAACACAAAACTGTAGCAAAATGACTACTGAGGGGGAAATAATGCTGTGGATAAATAATATATAGCACATTAATTTTCTTTTTCTTTAACGCCATGAGTGTTTTATGAAGAGGTGGGAGTCCTGTTGTCACACCTGTAATTAAGACCATCAGCAACAGAGGGTTGTGTATCAGGGCAGGAACTCGCAGGCTGGAAGCCTGTGAATCACTGATGTTGTGTTCCAGGTGGTTTTACGTGCTAGAATAGGAAGTTCAGAGCCCTGGAGAGTTGGTACAACCAATTGCCTGCTGTGCACTGTAAATCAGGGAAAGCAGATTGCAATTAACAAGGAGTGTTGCAGGTCTAGTCAATATACTCGGTTTTACTGATTATCAGAAAGGTCCAAAACCTCTGGGTCAATTGTTAGTGAATGTAAATCTTAGTCAATTAAAATTAGAGTTTTAAAATTTCAGAATTCAATTAAAAAATGAATCCTATGAAAAGGGGGAAAGCAATCATAAGACCTGGTCAAGAGGAACAATTCCCCTTCTACCTCTCCTGACTACCATAAATAATGGCTCCAGCTTCACAGAAAGAAAATCTTCGGCCAGTGAAAGAGTCTTGGCTATATAGTAATCTGCTCTACTGTCTTGCACCCATCATTTTTGCCAAAAAAAGGTAAAGCATTCGTATTTTGCCTTTATGTCATCACATCCAAGAAGTGGAGCCTCATCTAAACCCCCTTGAAGTCAGGGAAGGCTGTCATTGACTTCAGCTGGCATTGGAACACACTCTGAGAATGTAAAACACCTGCTAGCAAGCTAAATAAAGATGTGGGTTCAATTCAAGTTGAACATAGATAAATTTAATAGTAGATAGATAATTTAATAGTACTGAAGTTATACAGGTCTGCGAGCACACCGGCCTTCATTCTGTTTGTTGCTGTTCAGTTGACTTCAGTAACTCATTCCATGAGGTAACACATCAAAATGGCATTTGATAATGATTTTCACTATCAGTGAAGGCATGAAGCAGAAGATTAAGTAGAAATCAAAGGTTCCAAGGGTTAATAATAATATCTCACAAATGGGAAAGGATACTTTGCCATGCATAGCATTTCACAAAATCGAAGCCAACACGTTTTCAAGACAGCATGAAGTCAAGCCCTATCTAAAAAATGGTACATTTATTAGGATTTCAAGAAAAAGTGTTCTTGCTATTATCTCTGGGATGAGATAGACTCTGCAGGGATGACATAAATATTCTTACCTCCAGTGTCTGATTGGCATAATCTGTCTGCAACACCTACAGAATATAATACTGTATTGCAGGAATGTGGCATCAGTCTTTTTTAGGAGCAAATATTTAGAACACCTTGAAATATTTCATTGTCATACATGTGTCTGTGTGTATGATAGAAAATAAATTCTGCTGCTGGTCTCTTGGGATGTAGCTTCTTGCACACAGAAATACTAATTGCAGTCTTCATCATAGCACAGAGACATACCTTATCCGGGCTGGTAGCTGGGTAGTATCTGGGCTGGACAAGACAAAAAGAAATAAAACAGAAAGGGAAAAAAATTCTTGTAAGTATTTTTGTCATCTGAACAACTGCTTTGAAGAGAAGAAAACAGGACCTGCGTAACAAGTTTCTATTCTATTTTTTTCTATTGCTACACAACAAGTGTCACAAATTCACACAGCTTACCACTGAGTTTTGGTTGGGGTTTTTGTTGTGGTTTTTTGTCTGACAACATTTTTTCCCCAGTATCTCAAAGAAAATCCACCAGTGTTGTTCATTGCAAAGATTACATTAAACATGCCATATTGGTGGGAAAGAAGATAACCCTCAAGAAAACCACTTGGAACTGACCAGTTCTTGCCTAACTCTTTCATTCATAATCACACAATGAGAACCTTCAGTGGGTTCTGAGAAGAACTCAGAACCCACAACATCCCATCTACTCACTGAGATATTTTGCATAAACATTTTTGGTCATATGGGCAATCAAATCTTTTAAACAGGATGGTCAGTTACTGTTTGGATGGGAGTCTCCATTACAAGCATTCTTGCAAGAGCAGCTTCCACAGGATCAAGATGGGATACCAGTATTTGTTCTGATTATTTCTTAGAGTCCAGCAGGTCTGTGGTCCTACATGACGACTACAGTACATCAATGACCCATTTCTATTTATTATATTAAAACTACTCACAGAACTTCTTCTAGCTTTCCTGCTAGGTGCAGTGTCCTACCTATAACCACAGAACTAGAGAATTATTTATGTTGGAAGGGGCCTATGAAAGTCATGTAATTCAACCTCCTGCTGACCCTGATCTTGCCCTTAATTAGTTCAGGCTGTTTAGGTAGTTAAATCAGGCTAGTTATGTCTAGAACATTTTCAAAGCTATTTCTGCACCTGCATTTTGCAGACTATTTAAATTTATCCATGTGGCATTTGGCCAGTTGCCTCACCTATCTCTGGAGCTAACAGTATCTTTGGGACTGCCCAGGATTCCTCCACCCAAGAGCGACTTCACCAACACATTGAAGCACACAAATAGTGCCTAACTCATGTAGGCACAGCAGGCAATTGTCTGAAATTTCCACCTTGGCAGTAGCTAGCCCATTGCTGCGCCATGAAACAGCACAGAGATCAATCTACTGCCCATTTGTCTCAAGCCAGTCTGTTGTCACATCTACTCAGAGATCACCAGGAGACTTCATGGATCAGCCACGGAGCTGAAGACAAAATGCATTGGCTATGTGCACAGACAGAGAGCTGGTACCCATCTACATCAAACCTGAATTTAATCCTTTTATCACAGCTATGGTTTAAACCCAAGCTTGTCAAAAATGCTTCATTCTTGGGTCTAACCAGGCCTACCACTTCACTAAACGTAATACTAACACACACATAATTACGGGGTAAGAGAAATTTTTCCCACTTCAGCACTTCCATGCATTCAGCCATGTGATACTGTCACATCTGTGAAGCATGTTTCTATTTATATGTTCAAGTAGCTGTCATAGCAGCCTCAGCATCAAATAGCTGCTCTGCAGGAGTGAGCAGACAGTTGCTAATGGGAAATTTTACAGAACTCCTGTGGACAAACCTCATGCTAAGCAGTACTGCTGCTTACTGTAGGAGTAAAATTAGAACAATTTTGCATCTCTAAAAAAATTTGCTGCTACCTAAATGGGTGCTTTAAGCCGAGGGTGGTGCCACCAGGGAATTATCTAGATACATGTATTTCAGCAATTAATTTTAGAGAAATAATTAGGAATGGATATCCATCTCAGACATACAGCTACCTCACAGTTTTCATCCTGGGTTAAACTAACTAACTTACAAAAAAACCCAATCAGGACAGAGCACCAGCATCATCTTTTGATTTTTCCCTGAGACATACTGTTGATTACTTCATCAACAAAGGAAATTGAATGTGAGACTGAAATGGGAAACAAAACCACACAAACTAATCTAGAATGGATGTGTGTCTCATATTTCCATTTGCATATAATTCTAATATACTAACACAGTACTTGCTGGTACTCCAAAAACCCCATAATACTCCAAAACCCACCAGTTTTCTGAGCAGAATACAGGGATATGTACTGTGCTTAGGCATTCCTCTAACAGTCTTCAGAGAACAGGCCATTTTTTTCAATTTAATGGGGTTTTTTTCTTTTTTGCTTTCTGTAAATTGAAGACTTTAAAAAAAATATATAGCTTCATTCTAGCCATGGATATTTTACTAAAAAATACTGCCTTCTGTAATCTTATAATTGACCATGATTTGGAACAGAACAGTGTTTACAGTGCTTATAATTTTGAATGGGAAAAGTTTACCATCTTAGGGCAAGAGATGTAATCAGGCATGGCTTTGGCTTATAGGGCCACATCTCCAGTATCTCATGTATAATCCAGAATGAAACTAGCTAAAAAACTAATTGCATTTTATTCTATTTTTTTTTTCATCTGAAGATATAAAATATGTTTTATATTTAGACATATATTACATGTAAAAACATACATCATTAATTATTAATTATATTAATTTATCTAAAATTAATTTGAACTAAAAATCCATAATTTTATTATTATGGAATTATGACCTTACAGCTAAAATCTTTTAGGCCAAATCTGTGAAGTCACAGGCTCATTCGCAATAGAATGTCCATACTTCCCTTGACACTTCCCTTGAGGAAAGAGCTTCTGCAGCTGCCCAGGTAGGATGGTTCAGTGAGATGAGGGCTGAGCATGGCAGCAATTCCAGTGGAAAAGCACCACTGATATCTTAGTTCCATATGTAATTTTTTAGGGTATTGGGGTACACAGGCATGTTCTGTACACACATACCTGTCTCAGAGCTGCTCTCTCCTCCTTACAGATCTTGTCATCCTTCTCTGTGAACACAGACTCTCCAACAGAAACTGTATTATTTGTAGCACTGCCAAGTTCAATCCACTGCAGAGGCACCTGGAAAAACACACAAAAGTACCTGTGGAGTTTGAACACACTACATGTCTTAGCACTTCTACTTCAGCTGAGAGAAGCAACATCAGCAAATATAGGGCAAGAAGAGGAAATGTATTCAGGTAGTCAAAGTTATCAGAAGAGCCCAGTCAAGAAGATTTGAGCCTTCAGGTAGCCATGAACTCATGTCCTGACTTTATCTAGAGTTCCTTGCTGAGAGTGAAGCACTAGCTGGATATGCCATTGGAGCCTTGGCACTGAGGATGTGCCAATCAGTCATCCACACTACTAGGATTTACTTACCAAAGGGTAAGTGCTCCAGGATGTCAAATTGCTATTTGAGAAGTGATAAACTACAGATAGATCACTGTTCACCAAGAAGGATTGGAGACTTTGGGCCAAATTGAGATGTTATAAAACATTGTTCATTAATTAGTCTACCTCCAATGAGGGACTGCCATGCTGGCCAGCTTAGTACGGATATTATCAGATTTCCCCTATCTATTTCAGGATCCTTTTGCCTCCTTGGTCTTTCTTCACAGATTAACTTTTTGCAAGCCTTGGAACAACATCATGGTCCCTGCATATTAGACCTGGCTCATGGTCTGTACTGGCTCACCAATTCAAAGTGGGGCCCATTGCTACCTTTCAAGGAAAAGTAAGAAATGGTTCTAAAAGAAGTCTAAGGATGGAGGGGTAATTTCCTGTTGCAAGTCACTGGGCAGCTCCCACCCATAACAAGCTGTCATTACAAGAGCATACTTTAGCACCCCTGAGTGAGAGAGCAGCATCTCACAGTGACACAGATAAGATATCAACAGGGGATCTAAGAAAATAAATCACTCTGTACCCATTAATGCTGGGAGATCATCTACTCATGTTGCAACTGTTATAAATGAGAAGCTTGACTAGGCCAATATTCAAGCAGCAATCAATTTATTAATTAATATGGTAAAATATGAGCAACACAGTGCTGGGTACAGTGGGGGAAATTTCCCTCCAAGTGCACACCGATAGTTGAGGTTTACAGATATTTATAGTGGTACTCATAAGCAGTTTATATTCCCAATTTTTATGGCACAATTCTATACACTATTGTGATTTAGTTTTTCTCAGGATGTATCCCAGAAAGGAGTATCCCCAGATAGTGAGGGTCTGGCTTTTGTAAGAAGAAAGAAATCTCTCAGCTGGTGAAGTCGAGATTCCAGATGTGGGTCCATCTTTTAATTGCAAGGACTATAAATCTCATAACAGTGATGTCCAGCTTCCCTTGGTCGAAACTATCAATCCTTGAGTTGATGTTCATCTTCCTTTCTCAAGCTGCTTTTCACTGTTTTGTTAAGGCGTCGAGATAAGCATGTTTCCTTTTTATATATTCTAAAGCTATAGTTTCAAAGATCCTTACTACAAGCAATATTCTAAAATTATACTTCAAATTGTTATTATTGCAAAACTCTTTAAGGCTTAGCTACAAGCAGAAAGTTCCTGTCAAACAGCAACATCTTTAAAGCTTTAATTCAAATGCTCCTAAATCAACTTAAGACTTATAAAGTTTAATTGCGAACAAAGGATAGGTTCAAATGCCTTCTTTCATGCTTTACTTCCTCAGTTATTTATTAGAATTCATCTTTATAACTGCCCCAAGGCCAGTTTCCACACATATCACAATCACAAATACACACGTTACCTGTATGTACCTGACATGAAACACAGCTTTGTATTTCACAAACATGACTTTATATCCTGGCTGGAGTCCAGGCTTTGTTACAATTAGCATATTAGCTTAAATTAGGTGAGCCAGCAACTAGCTTATAGCTAATATCTGTAATTTTCCTTGGGAGAAGTTTGATTTTGTCTGTCTTTTTCCTGATACAGCTCAACTGAGAGTGAATTTTATGCAGAATATTTTTCCTCTGGCTAAAATGCTGTCTATTTCCAGAAGACCTGGGGTCAAGGTCCTATTTCACATCTTGGGAAATCTGAATGGGTTTCCCTGTGTGCCCAGCTTGGGTGCTGGTTATTCAAAGATGCCCAAAACATCCAGAAATAGCCTTAAGCTTATATCTCACTCCAAGATAAGTTTCATAAGGAACTCAGCATAGAAGGGTGATGCCAAACCTTTCAGTGTGCTTACTCTGTTTGGGAAAAAAGCAGAGTCCCACCTGACAAACCACTGGGAGAACTGGGAGAAAGGTGTCACATTAAAGTATTGGCTGGTGACTCAGACTTGAGACAACTTCTCTATTTGATTGTAAACTTAAGGGACATGATCTGGGAAAATTTAATATTTTTGCTTGTTTTTATGGGGCAGGGGGGCAGAGTTTAGCAACAATGATTTATGCTGCTGACTGCAGCACAGAAAGAATAAGTTGTGAGGCATTTAAATGCTAAGTGGAAAAAGGCCATGGATGTGCCTGGCCAAAACTGTCAGGCCTTTGCCTTATGTTAATACATTAACCTTCCCTCAGTAGAATAGAGGCCTAAAGATAAATTCATTGTCTCTCCTTAAAATAGCCTAGACATAGCTAAAACGACTGAGGAACAAAGGACTAAAAAACTGTTGGAAAGCTGAGAGGTGTTTAAGCTAAAAAGGAAATGGTTATGAAGGATTAGAAGGAGATGTAGTAGCTCCCCTGGGTCTTCAGCTTAGCAGAGCATAACCATGACCAGCTCTTGTGATGACCCTGAGAGATTAGGAGATGAGCAGCAGGTCTAGGATTTGTGTTCTTACATCAAGTAAGACAAAGAACATTCCATTAACTCATGGCAATGTGGGAAAAGGGAAGAGCAAACGTTGATTGACTGCTTTTTTAAAGTGAGATATGAAATGAACCACTTATCACCAGAACAACCTCTGATAGATGAGATCAGAGAAGAGAAGAGGTGCCCCAGCTAAACAGTATTCCTAGGAGTTTATCTGTGGATAATCCACATTACTCTTTTCACAGAGCTATGATCTGATATTTAATTTTTCCACCACATTGTGTTTTTGGCAGGATGTTTTTACTATCTCACATAAGAACCAAATTGTTTTGCAGCTTTAGGATGACAAACTCAAACTCTTCTTCAGGGTAACACTAAAAAATGAAGAGATAGAAAAAGACTTCAGTGATGCACAGCCCTTATGTGTTGTTTTGTTACAAGACATGTATCATCAACTTCCCACACATTTTTGATGCAGGAGATCTATGGGATGCTCAGCTTAGTGCTCCACAGATGCCACCACCATCAAACAAATGACAGGAAATTGGCAGGATGCTGTGGATTTACTTTCTTCAGCTGAATGGAAAACACTGTTCAGTATGGATCTAATACCTTTCCCTCTTCACCCACTCCTGCCATGCCTCCATGCCTTCAGGTTTCCAAAGCAGGTCTCAAGTTGAAGAAAAACTCAGCCCTTCATAGGGTGAATATAAGGTTTTGCCAATGTACAGCAAAAACCTAGCCACTCCTCAGGTGCCACTTGGAAGACATCCAGCCCCTCCCTGCCTCCCTCCCCTCCCCAACAACACTCCAGAGAACAATTTTTTGTTCATAAAGGGGAAAGCTGGAAGAGAAAACACTTAATTAGGAATCTCAAGAAGAATTAGAGTGGGTGGGACATTATCATTCCATCTGTGTTTGTGTTACAATTTCATCTGGAAACTAAGCAGTCCATTGCACATGCCGCTATAAATGACAGCCTGTGCCCCAGGCTGTTCACCCCACAATTATAGCAGTGCTCTCAAGTGGCCAGCTCTGAGTCACACCAAGTACTTTTGGTTTATGCATACACCTTAAACATTCCACAAGCTGCTAACGAGGCGTTTGCCAAAGTAGCTCTGAAAGGCTTTGAATTTTATATCTTTCCTGCTTTAGATGGAGGTTAATACAAGTTGAGAAGTGTGTTGCCTGTGCTGTATTCTCCTACTCTTAATCTCCAGGGTTAGCCCTCCCTGCACACAAACTGAGGGCATCTGGCTGACAAACTGGCCCAGCAGTCTCCTGCACCCCCTTCAAGTCAAAGGCATTGGCACAAAATCTCAGTGTATCTAAGGAGCTGGGAGGAGCTCCAAAGACAAAAGTCTGTCATACTGCTCCTAACAGCCCTACACTGAACTGATTTCCTTGCAGATCAACCTTACAAATACTCAGCATGACTAGAGATGACAGCAAAGGTACAGAACCAGTGCTTACTTGTATTATTTGCTGGTTTATACCTATACAGCCACAGAGAATGGCCCTTGGTACACTGCAAGCTAAATAAGCATCATCTAAACCATAGGATTTACCTGGTGAAGCAATCCATCCTCAAGGGAGGCACTAATATTTCTTCCAGGCCTTTCAAGATATTTCTGCCTGCTCTTGAGCTGGGCCTGGCACTGCGCTCTGGGATAGTGTGGATGCCCATCTCCATGTCTGTGGTTTCAATGCAGAATGGATAAGGCAATTTCCTTCCCCACAGAACCTTTTTCTCCTCCAAAGCCAGGTGTGATTATTGGGTTACCAACCAGGGCGAATTTCAGCTGCCTAAAAGAAATCACAGAATAGTTAGGGCTATTTAACCTGGGGAAAAGAAGGCTCAAGAGAGGATCAAAGAGTATCTCATTAATGTGTACAAATACCTGAAGGGAGAGTGAAAAAAAAGAGGGAGACACGTTTTTTCAGTGGTGCCCAGTGACAGGACAAGAGGTAACAGGCACAGACAAAAGCACAGGAGGTTTTATCAAAACATAAGGAATCACTCTTTTCTGTTTTTACATCACTGAGAGTGATGAAGCACTGCAGCATCTTGTCCTGGGAGGTAATGAATTCTCCATCCTTGGAACTCCTCGGTAGTTGACATGGTCCTGGTCAACCAGCTACAGATAGCTCTGCCTGAGGTCCCTGGATAAAACTTGTATATACATTGCTTTCCCTCACAACAGATTATTGGCAGAAAGACATGTAATTTCCATCAGAACTAACTGGAAAAGGAAGCACAATTAAGACTGCAAATTCAGGCATAATCTAACCCTTGTACCAAAGAGCTGCTCAAAACAATCCTGGTTGTTATAGTGGATAAAACACATGAAAGGAGAAGCTTGAGGAAGGACAGATGTGACGCCTGAATCTTAAGGCGAATGCAGGGTGGCAAATCTTATCCCTGCCAGATGGCCCTATGATTACACAACCTTTCAGCACACTGATGGAGTTTGAGATTTTCTGTCTTGCAAGAAGCAGCTTCAGATGAGTTTCAGCAGAGTAAATATGCACCATTGACTTTTATTTAGTTTTAATAGACTCTTGCAATTCACTTTTTAAAACATACTTCTGCTTTATGACTGCTACTTTCTCATACTCTCCTCCTTAATCTCTTTTCTCATAGATGTCTAATTGTGTAGAAGAATCACTGTGATGTATTTAGCTTTCATATGATTTCCCTGTTTGGTAATAATACCGCCAATTAACTACTGTTCTCATTAACCAATTTACTCATTTATAATCAAGGGCAATGGCTTTAACAGTTCTAATAATATGCCTTGTTAATAATGTCTTAATGAGGATTACCCTTATACTGCTCTCCGAAGGTTCCCTTTCTCCCTAAAATGAGAAAAGGCATATTAATGAAAAATAACCTTCTATCTCCTGGCTATGTGTTTTGTTGGAATAAAAAGAAAATATGGAAAAGTACTGTAGATTTTTTACCTCCATATTCTGCCATTTAGAAAACCAGTGAATTAGAGTAGGTGTAGTACATGATGCACTAACCCATAAATCAGTTCTGCCTCTTTCTTACTTGCTATAATTAGACACCAAAAGGCTCCTTTTATATCCTCAGCTGAATCAGGATGCAGGCATTCTTATCAGCTTCACTGGACATAGCAAAGAGAATACTGTTAATTAACTGATGGAAAGAAGAGAAATCAAAAAGAAATATTGAGTCAAGGTTTTATCAAATTAAACTAAAAGATCAAATCTAAGAGAATCTTCTCCCATGGAACTAAGGAAACACAATAAAACTGCAATTACTGAATATATGTTCTGCTAGCAGTAGCATGAAAAATTTAGTGTTTGGAATTGACAAATAAGGAGACAGGTTTACCAATGATTAGCAAAAAGAATCTGGAATGACCATGTTAAAAATAGCAGCTCACATATTTACAGGTAGAATAGAGAAGCTGCATAAGAAAACTTGCATTTAAAATAAAGGGGAACAGAAGCATAAGTCATGATCAGGCAACCCTGAAAGTTTAAGTGTTGGAGGAAGAAAGGAACAGAAGCATAAGTCAATGCATGATCAGGCAACCCTGAAAGTTTAAGTTTAAGTGTTGGAGGAAGAAAAAATTGGTGAAAGGCAGCTCTCTTATGCATCCAAACTGATGGAGAACTGAATGCATATTTCCATTCACAGTTTTGCCAAAACAGAGCACCCACAGGCTGGTTTAAAATTTTCTGAGGAGCAGAAACCTGTTGACAATCACCTGTCCAATGCACTTTTGCTATGCTGCATTCTATGCACATAAAGGCCCACTGACCTCAGATGATCATGATATTTTAAGACAAAATTACAAACTCCTTTAGCCCTCCATCTTCCAGCATGTTACTCAGATGTCTCTGTATTCCCCATTCCAGCACTGTTAGGATTTGAATCTTGCCTCCAGTGATCTATTAGGATTTTAAGGCATACTTATATGAGCAACATAATTTAATCTCATTAGCTCTAAGTATTGAAGACATGGAAATTGATATGATAAACACCTATGCTGTAATGGGGAGAAATTGATCTTCAGAAGTCAATATTTGCCAGCAACTGGAAATGTTAGTTTGCCATAATCAGTTCTTTTCTTGCCTATATTTTGGTTCTAATGAGTGGAAATTAGAAAGATAAAAAGAGCAATGTCCAAGCAATATTTCTGTTCCAGAAAAGCCATTGCAGCTAGAGCTATAAAGTGTCCAAATACATTAATTCAGTTTGGGATTTAGAACACAGTAAAAATGTAAATGTCACACTGTTTTTCAACCTTTTGCAGAGACGTCAGATCAAGGCTTATTCGCCCTACATACTTGACTATACCTTTAATTTATATTTTTGATCAAGCACAAAAGTTGGAAGTAGCCTCAGTACTAATTTTTAAGAAGAAAATTTTTAAGAAGAGAATACTCTCACTCCAAACTTTCATTAGTTTCCATTATTTCTTGGAAGGTTCCCACGATAACAAGAAATACACATGGATGAAATCTTGTTTGCACTAAACTCATCAGGCATTTTCCTACAGAATTTATTGGAGGCAATATTTTACCTAGTATCTTAGGAGGACTAGATTTTACTTTCCCTTGAAGAGTCACAGTTTTTACAGTTTTTTACTAGTAAGCAGGCAGTATGCTTTATACAGCAATTCTGAGGCAGCTCATGCAAGGGATAAGAACTCACTGAACAAATTTTGATGTATTCTAAGACCATATGAGAAGGTAATTAGATGCATTCATAGAATAGAGTTTTCAGAAAAACAGGGATGATTTTGTTCTTTTCCTTGGGCTTCAAAACAATGTAAGCCCTCTGATTTGGTACTGAATTAAACAATGAGCTCCTTGCCCTTGACTGTGTACAAGCTACTTTTAAATCGCTGGCATGCCGGTTCAATTCCATCACTTATTTATTTTTTTAGGCTGGAATAATTTAAAGCCAAACTTAATTAAGCTTCTGACATTGTGAGATGGCATCTAGAAAACTGTTTAAAATATGAGTCTTGTGTGACTTGGTTCTTGATATCAATCCCATTTTGATTTCCTACATTATCACTGTTTAAAAACATGTTTTAAAGCTGTAGGTTTTTTTCCATGGATGCTGTTTGTCATCTTTTGCACAGATCTAGGCCTTCCTTTGCACATAAAGACATGCATCTTCCTATGGAATATTTTATATCACTTGGCTGGTTCTTGATTACATCTTTTTTTCTCCCCAGATGAAAATACCTGGGGTGCAAAGACAAACAGCTTCACTTTTCTGTTTATTGTGAAAATCAGTCTGAAGCTAGAGGGGAAGAACTGGGGATGGAGCCAATCAGCACCTGGTCTGACATGTTTTAGGGCTCACATGACTTTAAATGAACAATGATATTTTCCTTCCTATATTTGCTGGACTAGCTTGACTATGACACAAATAGAGATGAGAGGGGCCACAGAAAAAGACAGAAAAAAAACATGGCTGAAGGAAGGGAATAGAAAAATACACACAAAACATGACAGAGTCATAAACCAGGACCCTGGACAAGTAGTAACCAGGACCTCCTTGGTCCAAATTCTTCTTGTAAACTATTACAGAGCTTTAAGTCACCAGCAGATACAGCTAGCTCTGGAAAACGGAACATTTTTTCATATCTTCTAGCTAAAATCTTTGTCCTATTAGGCTTCAGCATTTTATGAGTCACTAGGATTTCAGTGCTAATGAACTGCACTCCACTTCTTTGAAAGCCTATGGTTCAGACAAAATTACTCATTGATATATAGTGGTAGCTGTTCACTCAGAGAGTGAGAAAAGGCATATGAATGCAAAATAACCTTCCACTTCTACCTCCTGTCTAAGTGTTTTGTTGGAATGAAAAAAAATATACTTAGGTTTGCCATTTGATTATGGCCTGGATTTTAAATCACATGGAAGTTATGTGGTAGACTGAACTTTGTTTACATTAACTGGTTGAGCCTCATGATAAATTTCTCCCTGATAACCAAGGACTGATGCCTTAAAGTGCCATCAGTTTTCCTGCCAGAGAAAGGAAAAGGCAGGTAAGCAGCAGATCCTTCAGAGGTGTGGTAATGCTTTTTGTCATGTCGATTTCCTCCCTCCCAGAAAGGCACAGCTGCATCTGACAGTGTAAAACTCCCCACCACGGGAGGTACTGGGCGTTCACATGGAAGCCAGAAGGTTTTCTCCCTTCCAGTAAGGCACAAATGGCACAAGGAAAAGCATGGCCAAGCAGCAGCTGTTTCATTAGAAGGGGCCACAAAACATTGAAGTCCCCCAAAGTGCCTCCCAACTAATTTCCACAATGTTGCTTCAGACAGTGTAAAATCCCACTGCAGGGGAGGTGTCAGGTTCCTGCTGCAACCTAATTATTTTAAAATAAACCTGGCTCATATGTACACAGGTAATTCACTGTTTTTTCACTCTAATCCACCACAAGGGATCTATTAACCAGAACCTCAGTTACCCTTCCTCCGAAGCAGGTTGTAAAAACTAATAAATAAAAATCTATAGAACTGGCAGGAGAGGCCAGAAGTACCAAAAGTGGCCATATTACCATTTAAAATCCTTAGCTGAAAAATTAAGAAATAGCCATGTTCTGTTCAAAGCATATGAGCAGCATATAAATGAGAAAGATATTTGTTTACACAATCCAGTCTGCTTTGATTCAAGAATCAGTCAAGCAGCTGCCCAACTTGAAAGATGGATTACAAATTCACATAGCACAATCAAGGTCAAGACAGCTCTCCACCATTTCCTGGTACATAATATTTCAGACCTGAGTTTTTAATCATTGGCCTTTTAGACACAGTTACTTTAACCCATTTAGCATCAGCTTGGATACGCTGCCTGAATACTTCCACTTACTTGTTCTGAAGGGCTGTGGCAGAGACAGGAACTTAATCCACCCCTCCTCATTGCTAAAGAAAACCCAGGTCTGTGCAAAACATTTACACTCTCAGCCTCAAGATCCATCCTCATCTGCTGAGGTATTGTCTTTGTCCTGGCCCCCTGGGCCAGGTATTGCTTCTTGCAGCTTGTGATGGAAAACTGGTAAGCCATAACAAAAGCTAAAAGGCCACTCTTCAGAGTTCTCTGGGGAAAAAAAAAAAAAAAAAAAAAAAAAAAGTAAAAGCTTGAGGAAGAGACCTAGCAAATACTATACAAATTAAAGATTAAAAGAAAGGGCTGTTCTGGTGACATATCTGTTGGGATCTGGCTCCGTGCTTTTACTTCTGAAAGATAAGCCCAGGACCTCCCTTCATGAGTCAGCAGTAACATAAAAGTAATTGAACATCCTTCCAGGAGAGGTCTGTCATGTTCCTGTATTTCACTGCTTCAATAACCTGATGTTATTAAAATCTCTCACAATCTTCTTGCTATTAGGCAGTGCCTTATTTGATCAAATGATTATGAAAGATGGAGGGGGCTGTTAGCTTATAGAGTTTCCTTCTGATACAGAATTACATGGTAGGCTGATTCAACCTGAGTGTGAAAGCAAAAATAAGAATTTCTTTGCCTCCTTGCTCATTTTTCTATTTTGATTTCCTTATATTTTTTATCCAAGAATGTCAGAGACTAGTAATATCCCATGACTCCATTTCACACTTACTTAGCAATGGTATTTATGACTTACCTCTGGTAGCAATCTCCTTATGTGAAGGTATGCAATATATCTTGGGATCAGGCAAAACCTCCTTTTCCTCTTTTTAAATGATATACTTGCACTCTTTTATCTAATTGTATTACCAGTTTTTCTACTGCTTTTCTGTAGCTTTTTCTTCCTAAACTTCTATAGGAGACAAATATCAAGATGAATGTCTGCTTTTACAATGTATTCCTTGGAGGAGGAGAGCACAGGAATTTGCTTTGACGTGCTCATGCTTTTAATTGTCTGGAGTATTCTCAAGACATATCATTGTATTATCTTTCCTAATTTCCTTTTAATTCTCTACACAAGTCTCTAAAGAGCTGGTGTTGAGTCTCTCCCTGATATCCCTGGATGCAAGGATGTTGAATGCCTATTCCCTAGCAGAAACAAAATCGTGCCCAGGCTCAGCCCCAGAATGCAGCATTTTTAGACCAATACATGGATACATTTGAATGCTAGGAATCTCATGTCTGTTTATAGTTGTGGTTGTAATGTTTCCCCCAGCTGATAACATGGGAATGGTCTGGGCACTACAAGAAGAAAAAAAAGCCCACCATTCTGTTAGAATCTAGTTTTACATCACACCAGACATTTCCATTACCTTCTCTGCTATGCCATAAACATAGGACTATGTGTGTCTTCCTGTTCTCCACAAAATCCTGTGAGAACCCAGAGAATGTCTCAAACAAATTCTGATAACAACCAGAATCAAGCAATCAATTTAGAAACTCATTTGCCAGAAAGTTTTCCACCGATATTAAAAAAAAAAAACAAAAAACTGTTGCCATAAATCCTTTGCTGGCAGATGCTACTGCTGTGATGATATCCATCAACCATATCAGTTCCATCCATTCCTTGCTGGATTTGGTACTCAGCAGCCCCTCCATCACAACCAAAAATAATCTTTCTTCTGAATGGCCTTGCCAGAGCTTGGACACACTAGCTGGATCCTGATCCTGATGCTGGGTCTGGGAAGTCCTGGTGTTTGTTCAGTTCTTTATGCTTTATTTCACACCTTTGGAGGGGAGTATTCATTTTACCTAAAGCAACTGTGGCTGCCTGAAAATTAGGTTTAAACTAAACTAATTCACTATATTGATTCTGTGGGCCATGGAGAGAAATAGGAATCTGCTAAACACTGATGCTCCTCACCCATGTCAGGATGGAAGGACTGCTTTCCTCACAGGCTTCAGTAGAACAGAGAAGTGTCATCAAATGATTGGGCAAAAATCTTGAAATACTGATGCAGGCTGTTATAGGCAATATTGCACCACTATATTTATGGATTTTCAGCTTTCTAAGCAAACAAACAAGAATTAGAAATACCATATGTGCAACAGCGATGTCCCATGTATTACAGTATAGTGACATTTGTATCATTATGGGACATTGTGACTGAATGCAGCAGGTAATGTACTGAAAGCTGATATATATGGCTGAGGTACCACAAATATAGGTCCATGTCAACCTGCATGGCACGGTCATAGCAGATTTTGAGAATGTTATGATCTAGCTGACTATATATTGGCAATCCTCCTAGCTTTTGTAGTGTGTTTCCTTCCCCTTTCCCAAAAACAGCTGCTTAAACTGTGACTAGAAAACTGTCACAGGCCCCCTGTTCCAGGGAATAAACTGAAATCAGGAGACTAGGAACTACATTTTCCTGTTCTTTATATTTTCCCACTAATTCATCCTTTTTCCAGTTCTCTTCTTCTGCACTGCTTCTCTGAGTCCTTATGTCCCTCCCTTTCCCCTTATTCCCTTTAGATTATCTGTCTGTTTAAAATTCTAACAACACAGTAACCATTTCCCATGCTTTTAATGACAGCTCATAATTGCTGACAAGAAAGAGAAGTAAACCATGAGAAAATGTGTATGCACTAAATTGTCATAATGTCATAGACACTCCTGAGATCAGTAATGATGAGGTTGGGCTTTAGTTAAGACAGCTACACAGCAAATATATACCAGTAAGAAATGTCAGAATATAAAAATTGAAAGTTGGGATAAACAGGGTTTGTTTTTTCTGGAGCAATGTCTACAGCTCCTGCCTCCCTTGCAACCTTCTAGGAGTGTTCACTTTTGACAGAAACATTGTGAAATCAGCACTGTAACCCAGCTCATTGCTGGGTTTATGGGTGGAATTGCAGTCCGTTTCTGCTATAAAGCGTGGCTTTAAGAAGGCCAGCTTTGGTAAGGACTTGGCAGTCAGTTTATTAAGACAATACCTTTCTGTATCTACTGCTTTTAGACTAAAGAAGGTAAAAGCTGAAGCAGTGATGTTGAGAAGAATTCACCTCTTTACATTTTTATGGGAAAAAAATTTCATTGCACTAATACTAGATTTAAATTTAAGCCATGACAATCAAACCCAAAAAAAGTCCCAGTGTGCAATGCTCAATATCCAGTACTTACCCCAAATCATCTGCTGTTGAAAACCTGATCATGCCTCCTGAGGTTTCCATAGGTGGTTCCAGTAATAGGGGTTGTATGGGCCAGCTGCTTTTTAAGTCAAGCTCCCCTAATTAGGAGACCTGCCCATGCTCCCCAGGGAATTGCCTCATCAGGACATCCCTGTATATTTCTGCAGTGTGTATTTCTGAGGTGTATTTCTGCAGACCCCTCAGACTTTTTTGCTTTCAAGGTTATCTAGAAATTGTGCTTCTCAGACTCACAAAGTGATTCCCACAGCAACACAGATATTAGCTGGAATGTGTTAACTTTGATTAGGATAAACTGGGGATGGGGGAAGGGGGTGGGCAAGGGGAAATGACAAGGAACTGATAATCTTCTTGTGATCTAGTCTACAAATGTCAAAGAGGGTGAGATTTTGGGTGGGTTTGTGGTAGAGATTTTTGGTTTTGTTCATTTCTGAGGATGGATGAGCATTCTAAGGGAGAGAGGTGAATAGCTCAGGTGTGTTTTGGAGTTTAGAGGAGAAAAGGAGGTGCTGGAGCTCAAATCCAATATACATTTTACACTGCAGAGGAACTATCATGCAAGACTATTTCAGTAATCTGGGTGTGTGCAGGAGGGATCCGAGATTTCTACAGTCCCTTTTAAAATAGCTTGCACATAGCAGTGAAGCTTGGCAAATGACCTCCTTTCACATGATTAGCCAGTCTTGGCTGACTAGCTTTTATAGTCAGCCTGTAATGTAAAACATATAAAATACCAATCTTAAGCACAGCTTACATTTTCCTTCTTTCTCACCTGATTCTGATCTCAGCAAATCAAGTTAGTAGCTGATTAGTCTCAGGCTTTACTTGTGGAACACAAAACAGTTGTTCACATGCAGTATTTCCCTCATTAAATTCTTGGTTGAAGTAGGAAAAAGTAATTTTCTTTCTGGAATCTGAACAAGATGGCCACAGCCATAAGGTTCTGTTACACATGGGTTGATGGGACAGCTGAGACAAGAATCTCTTTGCTGAACGAGCTAAGGAATAAATGCTCCTTGTGCTGAGAATGGAAGCTAATGCAAAGTGTTCAGGATGAGGAAATGACTTCTCTCACAACTCCCTCTGTACAGCTGAGCAGCTCACCAGCTTCCCATCACAGAATGCTCTGGCTGGTGCCTAAGGTACTCAGATGAGTTTCATTTCTTTGCTCCAGTGTTTTCCATACTTAATGCCTATTCTCAGAAATATCCCATTAACATCTGCTTTCCTGTAAATGTCCCTAGTGACTTGACATTTGGGCATAAGCAGCTTACGTGGCCTGAGATGGCAGTTAATTTTAGCAGTGGCAAGACTTGAGATAGCAGTCCACCCCACACAAAAATATGGGTGGCATGCTCATAAATCCAAATGTTAGTGGTTTGAAAAGGCCAACAACTTCTCCCTGTTTCACAGAAAAGAAAAAGAGGAAATTTCACTATAAAAAAAGAGGAATCTGCACACATTTGCCATGTAAGTCCACTGGCACACACCCTGCCAGTACTGCCAGTTTTATCAGTATCTTGGTGAAATACTCAAATCTGGCATATTTTACTGCTTTATGCTCTTTGTCTTCAAATACTCCTGCTATGTCTGGAGAGAACTGCCAGGGCAAAAATAACTTGCTGCACATTTCAGAGCACTGCCTTCAGCATAGCCTGGATTCTGTCAAGCCAAATTTCACTTGTGGAAGAAATATCACCTGTAGTCCTGAGTTCCTAGGACACCGAGATCAGTCTTGTGAAAAATTAGGTGTGGACATCATCCCCACACAGAGCTGGTGGTCTGGAGGAAGCACCCACAGTGAAGCTCTGCCCTTAGGGAGAGCTGTGCCCACATCCACCTCTCACACCAGAATCAGAGCTGCAGAGGGTGAATCATAAGCAGTTCCCATGATGGTCTTGGGGACCTGTAGCATGCACAGCCTCCCTTTCATGCCCATGACAGGACAGGCACAATACACCCTACTAGAGATTGTTACTGCAAAGGAAGAAAGAGAAGAGGAA